AAAAACAATTTTAAATTATCATTTATGTAGTATAGTTACACATCTTTTAAAAATACATATAAAGTCAAAGACTCATTAATTTATACCGAGAAGAGTATGTCACATAGCATCATATCAATAAAATTTACCAAAGAAAAAAGAGAGAGAGAGAGAGAGAGAGAGAGAGAAATCTTTTCTAAGCTAAAATATCAAACTTTCATCAATTAGGAGCAACAGCTGAGGCTTTTAGGTTAGCTTTTGGTTTTTTTAATGTATTTTGGTGGAGGATACACAAGTGATTTTCGGCCGGATAGGGAATCTGCGTAAGATACCATATCAGAAAAAATGACAGCGATACTTCGATTTTTCTGATAGATTTTTGGATTTTGAGATTCATTTTGCCAAACATGTACATGTATTTCTCTTATAGGGTAAGAGGACAAGACAAAGACTTGTAATCCAAAAGAGCTTTACATGTGCCTATGAGCATGAGATTAGTTAGGTGAATGATTCGAATACCCACTTCATTATATATACAAAATAGTATAAAGAGAGTAAAGTCAGCATTTATTCTTTCTTTGTCTCTTTTCTTTAATTTTTTTCTCTTTAAAAAGTTAAAGGATGGTGATAATTATGTAAATTATTTAAGGTTCAAAAGCATTTTAATGGATTGAAAAAATAGTCCTTTAGTAAATTATAGAATTTTGTAGGTTTTTCTTTTTTAAGTAGTACACACCACAAAAGATAGAATAAGTAAAAAATTGATGAGATTAAATTAATTATTAAATTCATAAATTTATAAGATTCTAATTTTTAAGTCTTTAAATTATAGTTGTGAGTAGTTAACAATTTAAGCAATTAAACTTAAATTTTTAGATGAGTTGTGATAATTGAAATTTGAAATACATGATACCTAATAGATTGGTATTTTTTATTTTAATTTGAAAATTATCCACTTTAATTTAACTTCAAATTCTAAAAGCTCTTAACCATCTCCTATATTTTAAAATATTAAGAACATAAATTATAGATAAACTTGCACCATGCATGTTAAAATTTAAGCATTACAAAGAGTTGAAAGAAAAAAAAAAACAAAAAGATTGATGAAGTGAATTTACATAGTTATAAATATTGAAAAGTTGCTTTCACATTAGCAAAAGTCAGTAAATATTTATTTTGTATAGAATATAGGAAATTTTGATAGAAACAAATGAAACTTTGTGTACTTTGTATACATTGTTATAATATAAAAATATAATACTTCATATATATATATATATATATATATATTTAATAAACTCAATACTTTACGAACACCTTATCTGGCAGGGTAAAAATGCTAAGATATATATAAAACTCCAAGAGAGCCCAAATTTGTCAAAAAAGATGCTCTAGGCTTCCACATTAGTTGATTCGTAGCTCAAAATTGTAAGAAAATGAACTTGAATAATTTTCTTTACTGTAATGATGACCCATGCTCCCATCATATCGAACAAGGGATGTGTGTTTTGTTACATCAATATACCAGAGACCATATTTAAATAACTCTACTTCCCAAAATTTGCCTATTTTCTTCAATATTCAATTTTGGCAAAAATGAACTCAATGTAGTAGAAATGGTAAAATTCATACTTCCAAACCAGAGATAACAGATTATTCAGCATTGTAAAAACTGTATACCCAAAAAAAAAAAAAAAGGCATTGTAAAAACTGATAGCAAGAAGTGATTGTCAACCATCTGTAGAAATGGAAAATGTCATTAATGGCAACAATTACCTGCGGACGGTTTACTCGCCAGATTGACATTACAATATGCATTAGCAGCAGCTAGTGTCGGGGCAGCTTCTAGAGGATTTACTGACAGAAGGTTATGCACTTGGCAGGTTGCTACTGTCTGCACTAGCAGCAGGTAGTGGTTGGAGAGCCTTCATAGGATTCATGATGACACCATCAATAAGACCATAGTCCTTGGCTTCTTTGGGGCTCAGGAAGAAATCACGGTCTGTATCCTGGTTAATCTTCTCTAAACTCTGACCAGTGTGGTAGGCAAGATAACCATTTAAGTTCGCTTTATGATATAGCATTTCATTTGCCTGAGAAGAATGCATAATGGTCAGAGTAACAACAGACATGAGGTAAACAAAAACTGTATAAACTCATCTACACTGGTAATACAAATGAAAATTAATGACAACAAATTACATTTAACATGCATCAAAGAAAAAGATATTCAAACAAACAATTTGAAAAGAACAAGGAGATAGCCAAATGGACAAAAAAAGAAAAAGTGTACAAATAAAAAGAAAAAAGAAAGATGTGAGGAAATAAAGAAACTCATACCTGGATTTCAACATCAGTTAGAGTACCTTGACCACCACCAAGAGGCTGATGGATCATTATCCTTGAATTTGGCAAACTATATCTCTTTCCTACAGACAAGGTGGAAGAAGAGATGGTAACAATTGCAGATAAACTAACAACACAACAGAGCTTTTAATAGTTGAAAGCATGAGAACTTATTACCTTTGGTTCCAGCACTTAAAAGAAATGCCCCCATACTGTTAGGGAAAAAAAAAAAAGAACCCTCTTCAGCTATTAGTCACAAACCATTGGTCTTGTAAGCAAATTGCAAAGCTTAGTCTTAGGAAAAACCACACATATGCTAATTTAGACATGCAATCACAATTAAAAAGAGCAACTTTCAAAATCAATTATTAGACTCCATATAAGTTGAAATTGGTAAAACCATGTCTTATACCCAGAACTAAGTTCCCAACCATCTAAGATATCATACTATTTTTTGAGTGAACACATTCTAATCAAAATTGCATGCAATATGATGCTAAGAAGTTCACAAAAATCTTTGAAACTGCCTGAAACTAACCATCTTGAATCACCCAAAGAATAACAAAAAATTCTAGCATAATGATTCCATCACAAATAAGAAAGATTAATTCAAAGAATAATACTTTGTTAGTGCACCAGTTAACCAGTAGTAGACTTGTAGTTAATGTGTAATGCCAATCCTAGCATGGCAATGGTACTGATGGCAAAGTAGCAATTATATATCACTGGGACTCTGGGCGAGACATCAATGGACTAGAAAGACAGAATACTTGGAGAGACATATTTTAGCATTAGCAACTTTTTCAATTTCTTATTCAGTGACAAAGATGCATGACATAATAAAAAAAAATGACTCTTTTACCTTGCTGCTAGTCCAACACACACAGTTGAGACATCAGGTCGAATATGCCTCATTGTGTCAAATATGGCCATTCCTATAAAATTGGAAAGAGCATACAAACCATTCAAGTCTCTTGATAAATAAACAGTGTTCAAAGAGAAACACAATTCAAAAAAATAGACAGTACCTGCTGTGACTGACCCTCCAGGAGAATTGATATACATGACAATGTCCTGTTTACAAATTGAAAGACATAATGGTAAATAATCTGCATAATGATGTTTAACCAAAAGATGGTTGTGAAAATTAGTTTTGTATGTCTGCCGGATTGCTTGTTGCGGCTGTTGAGAGAAGCAGAGATGATAAACTGTCCGTAGTTGTTAAAGAACATGAGTATTATCGGTAAAACCGAATAGAACTTTTGAACATTATATGTTATAGTTCCATGAGACAAGTGCATATTTTAATGGATTTGAGTATGACAGACCACATATTAACCATCAGAAACAAACACCAGACTAACCTTGCGAGGATCAACGGCATCAAGATAGAAAAGTTGAGCTACTATAGTGTTTGCCATATCATCCTCAACAGCTCCACCACAACGTATTATTCTCTGAAAGTCCAAATGAAAACCAAAATCAAAAGTTAATAAACAGACAATACAGTACTTGAATAACAGTGAAAGCCAGAGCAATTTCCTACATGTTGAAAAAGTTGACTAATAACACTCTGGAAGCGCTCCTGCAACATTGGTGATGGTCCTTGTCCTTGTGCATATACAGGGTAGTATGGAGATGAAGGGACCTGCAAATCATCTCTACGGAATCCAAGAACTTGTTTAATCTCCACTCAGAAAAACAATCAACAAGTACACGTATAAACCCGAAATTTCTCATGAAAATTCTACCTTATGGACCAAATTCCACGTCGAGAACTCGATTTTGGAGTCCAAAACTCATCAGAGGACATAGCCTTTGCTAAAGCTTTCCTCACATTCTTTTGGTCACTAACTAGCTTCTTTAATTTCCTACAAATTAACAATAACATTTACAGTTAATTCTCAGCTTAGCCAACATGTAAAGAGAAACAAAGTTACGATACAAAATATCAAGCAGAATGTTGTTTACGTGCAGAAATGTGCAAAGAGATTCAAATCCTCACACAAGAAAAAGCTAAAACCAAAAAAATCTCATTCAACAAGTAGAAACACTGACTCAGAGTGTTACGATTTCGCTAAACCTAAACTCAATTGGAAAACCTGCAAAGCTTCAGTTAAACCCTAAGACTTCAAAATTGCTTTCCCATACTTTCTCGGCAACCGACTAGATAAACAAAGGAATCGGTACCTGGAACGAAGAGGGTGGAAAGGCAGCGAGAGCTTATTAGCGTCGAGATTCGAGCCGGAGTTGGAAGAGAATAATGCAAGAGAATTCATCCTGAGAGAGGAAGCCGGTGCCGACGTTGACGTGAAAGTGAGCGCCATTGTTCTTGGTATGTGAATGCCGCAAGTGGCGCAAACCGGAGGAAATTGGAACGGCGGGCTTAATCTTATCCTTAAGATTGGGCGCAGGCGGCGTGGTTATGCTCCGGTTGAGCAAGAAAGCAGTTAACAGCGACACTCAATCGAGTCTCTAAGAATTAATAATAATTTATTATTTATGTCTCTCTCTCACTCGCAAGGAATCTTCTCGTTTACATTTGACCCCTTCTTTGTTTTTTTTTTTTTGCGGGTTCGGTAACTCGATTTTTTTTTATTAATTTCTTAATATTTAATAATTACATAAAAATTTAATTAATTTAAAATTAAATCGTATCATATCTACTAAAAAAATTCTCTTAACATTTAATTTTTTATTCACAAACTCAAAATTAAGACTTTATTTAGAGATAATCGATTTTTTTTTATCTAAATCAATAAGTCATTAATTCAGTAACTCCCTTTTTGTTTGTATAATTATCCATTTATCCTCATCAGCTCCGGCTGTCATTAGTCGTTCGAAAAAAAATAAAATAAAATGTGTGCTACGGACGGTTAGGAGTATCTTTTCCCTTCTTTTTTTTTTTTTTCTAAGTTTGTTAAAATTTGATTGATAAAAAAATCAATATTTTTTAACTTATTTTTAAGAAATTTAATTTAATTTTTTAATTTTTAAGATATATATTCTTTAAAAAAATTTAATAATTTATATAAATATAAATTTTTTTTATCTCTATATATATTATTAAGTATTTTATTTGATAAAAAAAATATTATTATTTATATAAATTATTAAATTTTTATTAAAATTTTATGTTTTAAAAATAAAAAAATTAAATTAAATTTATTAAAAATAAGTAAAAAAATATTTATTATTTAATAAATTAAAATTTATTTATAAACTGATATTTTTACAATAAATTTTCTATTTTATAATTTAAACTACAAAATAATTATTCTTAAATGAAAAAATGTTCTTAAAAAAATAAAAAATAAAAAACCCTGCGCCTGATTCTAGGATTCTTGTTTTGCAATTTAATTCCATTCAAACTGCAAATAACTTTTCTATCTACCAAACAGGTTTCTTACCTCCTAAGATTTAACAGGAAATTAGAAGACTGAATTCAAGCAAAAGAAACTCAACTAGAGGGGTTGATGGTGCTGCAAGTTCCACAAACATCTTCCAGAAGATCTCAATTGCAGCAAAAGCAAAAGTGACTTCAGAATAAAAAAATACACTTATAAAATGCAAGCTACGTCGTAGAAATGGCATATCATGACAAAAGCAATATGATATCATATCAGAACCACCCCTTTTTCTTCCAATCATAAGAATAGTAACAAGATTCACTGAATTGGAGGGGGAAAAGAATGATCTTTTGTATCAATAACTGAATTGTATATCATGACAATGGGCAAAATATGCCCTCCACTCTCCCCTGTCAGGCTACATAGAAGATATATCCAAAAAGAAAATCTGCAGAAGCCACTGCATCAGTGAAGATTAGTACAATTCTTTCTGTTTCATTAACAAGTAGTCTCAGCCTGCAAGATGCATGCAAGTCGCATTCCCCTGCTGTGGCCCATTGGTGGCCACTGCAGCCCAACAGGGCTGCCGGTGGATTGTACCCTTGACCAGTGGTCGAACCTTACCAAGAGCAAGGTACTAACCTAACTTCTAACTTCTAACTTCTAACCATTTCCCCTGTAAAAAAAAAAAAAAAAAAAGATACATACAAGGACCCAAAAAATAAAAAGCATCAACCATGAGCAGTTATACTCACCTAGTATTTTCAGAAGGCAGTTCCAGAAAACCATGAAGAACTGCAATGAAAGGATAACTTGTTGGCAATTTGGCATAAAAGATGCTATGCAATATCTCTTCTGAAGTTAGGCTGGTGAAAAACATCAACCATGGATAAACTATACCTTTACATGTAAAAGTTGATCTGATGTATATGCAGCTTAAAGAACTTTAACAAGATTGAAGTAAACTTAAGGCAGAAAAAAAAATCTGTATCTCATTGACAGAGCTCTGTATTATAGCGATTATCAATCCACAATTCAGTAAATCCTTCTAAATTGAGCAGAAACATAATCCCTCAAAACAATCTCCAATGTCTTAAAGAAGGAGAAATATAGAGCAGAATTTACTGCATTGATAGACACCAGGGTAGGACTTTTGACAGCATCAGCTAGTTGTTTCAGTCTGCTGCTGTTTCTGTATTGCCTTGTAGCACTGTAGACTGCAAAGAGGTAGCTTGGTCTTTGAATCCCGATACTTGTATGGGTTAGTGCATGATGGACCAGCACATTTTTCACGCGGAGGTGGATAACTAAAATGCAAACCAAAAACTTTCAGATATTTAAAAACAAACATTAATCTCAAGCACATTAGCATTTGGATGAACTTAAAATCTGCACCAGAAGAATTACCTGATGGGTTTGGAATAAAAAATACTAGGGAGACCCATTTCTTGGGGAAATGTAATGACAGTCCCTGTAGGACCCATGACCCACCTAACAGTGTTAGCTCCAAGCATCTGGGCATTGGCAGCCTTTTCCTGTATCAAATAACACAAGCAAATGAAACAAGATAGCTTAAAATGACACACTGACCAATACATCCAACATTTCTCAATCCAACAGTAACCTGTGCCAATTCTTCTTGGCGCTTTTTCATCTTTTCTTCCCGCTTTTTCCGATTGGAGTCTTGGCCAAGTATTTTTCTAATTGCCTCTTCCTACAAAAACTCAGAACCAAACATACTTGATATCTTCCTTGCATATCCAAAACATACACAAGCAAGTAGAAATGCAAAGCACCAAGATGAACAAACCTCAGATTCCCTATTAGCCTTTTCAACTTGCATCCTTCGTCTCTGAGCAGCCTCTGCCTTCTTTACCTGCTGTTCCACTTCTGAGAGTTTCTCCTTTTGTTCTACAATCAACAAATTTTACAGTTAAATTGACCAAAAAAAAAAAATAATAATAGCCATAGATTTCTACAACAGAGATAGATGCTCACTTCTTGGTGGGGCAGGTGGCAATCCATTCGGAAACTCAATTACGCTTGCACTAGGAGCACCAGAGGCATCTTTGCTTGACTGAAGAGCCCGTTGACGAGTTGTGAGCATCATCTCCCTCTTATTCTCCGTCAATGTATCAACAGATTCCTTTTGCTTTAATTTTCTCTTACCTTCAATCTCGCCATCAAAACCTGTTTCATTGTCCTCATAATCAGTGTCCTCAGATCCCTTATCTGATTTGGGCTTCTTTTTCGCATCTCTGCCAGACCTTGAAGTACCAATATGTTCCACATCAGAAACCCTAGAGAATTTCTGCTGTTTCTTACCTGATTCTCCACCATCTTCTTTGTATGCCAGATTGATCTTTGATGTCTTAAGTTTCTCCAAGTAGCGAATTTCCTCATCATTGTAGTCTTCACCAAATTCCTCATCCAGCACACGCCTTTTTGGAACCCGTGTGCTCTTACGAACTGAACCTGCCAGGTCCCCTTGCTTCCCAGGGACATTCTGCCCAACCCTCTTTCCCATAAAAGAATCCTCCTTCCCAAAACCAAAACCACCTCTGGAGAAATCTTTCCAGGGTATTCCTTGCAAACCAGTCCTCTTATCTTGAGGGGAAAGCCAGTCCTCTTTATTTCTCTGCAGCGAAGACACGTTACATGTTTATTTGTTAAGGCCAGATAAAAAGAATAACCATTAAAGATGCCCTTCCATATATAAAAAATTTTACAATTTAGGACCCAATTATTTATATACACGTGTTTACAACCAGGTAATGTGTCCAACAACTACCAATGCTCCTTCTGGAGGCCACCACAAGGCAGACTGGTAATCAATACAAGGCTGATTTATAAGGAATGCAACTTTATAGGTATAAATATCTCTAAACCGGATCCTTCTTAATTCTCTAAACACAATTCATATAAGCCTAAATGACCTAATTAGGGATACAACAACTAGGAACACACAACAGTGCACTGCCTCAAGCAAGGAGTCACATTACATGATAAAAAGAAAAGCATGTATTACTATAAGAATGCATAGCTAAAGCAAAACAAGAAACAATGAATAAATACCTGAAGGCCATTCTTCTTGGTAGAAGACCCACAACCTGGCACACCATTAGGTGCTGAATTGGCAATTGTATGCACAATACCACCAACCTTGACCTTGAATTTCTTAATCTTGCTCTTATTTACTGAGCCATCTGAAATCCCTCCCTGTTTTGGAGTAAGACTTGCACCATTCCTTCCACCATAAATACCTGCATTTCTTGATTCTAAATCCAAAACTTCATTTAACTCACTCATGGTTTTCCAATTGGCCGGGGCAAGCACACCCTCACTAGAACGCTTGTTATTGGACACACTTTGTCCTGGCTCATTATTGTAGAATGCATTGAATTCTCCATCTTCATTCTTACTCTTTTTATGTGATTTTTCACCTTCGATGCCCACAACAGAAGAAACTAAGGAAACACATTGATTAAGACTGAGCACTTTCCTCTTATGATTAGTATCGTAATCAGCATTCTCATCACTAGAAACCTTGTCTGCAGCATAAAAAGGTGGTGTTGATGACAAGGGTGAATGATCACCACTTTCAGCAAATGGTTGTGATTCATGCCAAGGGCGACGAGAAGTTTGACTCCTCCTCTTCCTCACAGCAGTGTTGATGCCAGCAAATTCTTCCATCTAATTCTACTGGTGCCACTTCTCAGGTGATGTAGCAACCAGAAACCATTAGAAGCATCCTTCAAGCCACCAGCTGATATCAAAAGGAGGAAGAGATAAGAACAATGGGTTTACATTGTACAAATCTTATATGATAATACAACAAACCCCATTATATTATATTTAATAAAACAGATGAGTTGGAAACTTAGAGGTAGAAGATGAAACATTTGGGACAAAATATCTATATTAAACTAAACTAAAAAAGAAGTTAATAAATTCAGAGGAATAAATATCAAGTAAGACAACGAGATAATAGACACACTAACGCCTACTACTACCAACAGCATAATAATTTAACAGACAAAAGTTCAACAATGTCCATGACAATATCAACAATGTGCATGATAATATCAGAAAATTGAACCTAGAATGCAAACAGAAACAGGTTACTACTACAATGGGGAATAAACTATCCCCTGCCAAATCAAAATTCAAATGTAAAAACCATAGCTTTCCATAAAATCCCAAGAGAATTACCCAGATGGAACAGTGTGTCATATGAATTAGCAAGAAGACTAATTGGAAAACCTCACAATTCAGACCAAACTATTACTCAACAAAGTGAATTAACCTAGAAGTCACTCCCAATCCAGACAACACATGAATCAAACCAAAAAATCCCAGAAAAGAACACCCAAAACCACAAATAAGTCCACAAAGAAAACCCAACAGAGGGACATTCAAATTACCGCATACACATTCACCAATGATGACGACCCGTGAATTCCCACAAACAAACCTCAAATCATGATCATAATAACCAACAAAACCCAAATAGGACAAAACACAAGATACTCAAACCCCAGGTGCATATTATTCTTACCTTCTCGCAAAAACTCCAGATATTCCCAGACGAAGGAATCAAGTACCCACAATAGAAGATGATGAGAGACGAAGAAAGAGAGAAAAGGGCATCTGAAAATCGGGTTTGGTTGTAGAATCTGTGATGGAAGACAAAAGGGGTTAAAAAGACAGTTTTTAAGGTAACAACGAAGAGAAGAATGAGATGGGTAAAGGAGAGGAGGACTTAATATCTTCTTGTTCACCATTTTTTTGCTATTGCCACACAACCCCCGGAGGTAAGTTTTGTTTGGGGAGGGGGGATGTTGGTTTTAGGACTTTTGGCTTGCACCTTACTTGTCTTCCTTTGTTGATTGATTGGGGCAGGGGTTCACACCCACCCGAGTCGTGACTCGCCGAACCAAACCCAACTCAGCTCGTTCTTTCTTTCTTTCTTTGTTTTCCCTCTCTAGAGGTTTTTTCTCTTCTTTTTCTTTTTCCTTTCCTCTTCTACTCACCGTTAGGCTGCAAAAGTGTGCGCAGGTTTAGACTATACGCACTCCGTCCTAACGTTAGCGGTGCTCTATTTTGTTCTTTGTCGTCGGTCGGTATTGCACTTTATGTCAAAATCATGATTACAAAATAAAAATAAAAGCTCCCAATTTTCGAACGACAACCAAAAAAAAAAAAAAGCTTTTATTTGGTAAAAATCCTTCTTAAACCCCCAAACTTATCCCAAAATAATATTTAAGCTCCTAAACTAAAAGTGAAGCAAATAAACCCTCTAACTCCATTATTAATGCAAATAAACCCTTCTCACAAATGGATCAAATGGTATTTTATGTTTAATATCATCTTGAAAGCATGAATAACCATGAATGAAAAGGGCTTATTTGCATTGTTAGCGAAGTTAGAGGGCTTATCTGTTTTATTTTTAGTTTAAAAGCTTAAATGCTATTTTGGGGTAAGTTTGGGGGCTTAAGAAGGATTTTTACCTTTTTATTTTAAATGATAAAAAAAATAAAAGGAATAAATCTTAAAATAATGCATTAGATATTTGGATTGCATAAATGGTGCTATCAGGGTATGATTTTGGACAAGAAAAATAACAGAGACTACAATCTGATATCACCAGACAATTGGTAAAATGTCACACAATCTTTTAAGCCCGTTGGCATGGAAACGTGGGCTTGCTTAAGTCTTGTAAACCCCGCACGAGCCATAACCCTTTCCACAACTTTCCCACGTTTGCAATGATACATGGTATCTCACCGACACTTTCCCACTTGATTAAAATATCATTAGAGTCGCTAACGATTTAAATAATTAAGTGATAATTTTTTTTATTGTAAATAAAAAAATTTTTAAATTTGAATTACATAATATATAATATATGAGTGTGATAAGAGAAGTGGAAAAAAAAAGAGTTATTTTCCATTATACAACCAATCATCAAATATATATATATATATATCACCGCAACTTGATATATGAGTGTGATAGGAAAAGTGGTAAACGATTTGTTCCAGTTTAAGCAAGATTTTGAATTCAAGACCTTTTGTATGCAGTAGCTTCCGTTGGGAGACTAACCCACTATTTCCAAGTGTACGACGCGGGTCAGATCCGAATTAATCGGGACGAAACCCGGATACCGAGCGAAAACCCAAAAAATAAAAAAATTAAGATATAAACTCTTGACAACAGAGGTATGCAAATATACACATAAAAGAAGGAATACCATTTTCATGATTTCTCAAAAATGTATATATATCTTTTCTTTTTTTTTTGGAAAATAGGTAATGGAAATATGTATATATATCAATACTACAAGCAATGTTTCCTCACACCCCCTTTTTTTGATCTTACAAAAAAACTGTTTTTCTGATGTATAATTTTGAGATTTTGTATATAATCTTTTAGAATTTTATCAGGTCGATGCCTATGGCCAAATTGTTGCTAACCATCTTCCCAAGCACATCATCTACATGGGCTAGAGGCGATTCAATTTCAGCTGCATCGAACGCGTCCTCACAGGCATCCACGTTGTCGATGTTGGCGCCGAGCTCGGTGTTTAACGTGTAAATGTCCGCGGCGGCGATGGCGTCGAGGATCTTCTGGTTGCTGTGGATGATGCTCGAGTAGCTGATGATACAAGCGTCAAGGCAGGATTTGAGGATGGGTTGGGAAGCGGACGAAGGATCTCCGTGTATCTTCTTTGCCAGAGCAAGGCCTTCCTGGGCTTGGTCGGTTGTGGCTTGCACTGCGGCTTCGAGGACTGAAGTGGGTTCGAAGTTTTTGTCTTCTCTCACGTAGGGGATGAGAGTGGCAATGCACTCCGGTGGGTGGTCGGTATCGGCGCAAATACTTTTGAGCATGGGAGCTGCGTCTATTTTGTCAATGTCCTGCGGGTCGAAGGGCTGGGTCTGGGCGTATCGCGAGAAGCCATCGTTTGCTCTGGAGGGTGATGGAGCGAGGCTGGAAATGGGGGCGGAAGCAGGACCGGGAGACGGTTTGGCATGGACATCAGAGGAAGAGAAGAGACAGAAGAGGAAGATGAGAAGAAACAAGGAAATGGAAGTCTTTAGCCCCATATTGTCTTTTTGTGGTTACGAAATTGCGTAGGCCAAGAGGAGAGCAGTGGAGAGATTTAAGGGGCAGAGTTTCTTCTAATTTTAGAATAGTAGTTTTCTGTACCATTTTAACGTCCAATATTAGAGTTAAAGAATCTTAACCATGAATATTTTGTTTGGAGAGAAACAGGGTTGACAAAGTAACATCCTACATATTTTTATGTAATGATATTTCGTGTAATCGGAACTATAAAAATATAAACCCTTGAATGATTTAGGAGAATAATGTGCAGTTCAATGTAGGCTTAGACTGTAGGTCATCACTCTCTTCGCTTAATTAACTACTTTTGTGAAATGGACATTATAGTTAATTGAGAAAAGACAGACAAATGGGTAAATCTTCAGTAAATTAAAAAAAAAAAAGAAAAAAGAAAAAAAGGAAACAGATTAAATATGAACCTGAAAACAATACAATGTGCTTGGTATATGTACAAAATTTGATTCACCATGTAGAGATCCACTGTGTAGGGGAAAACTTAACTGGGGTTCTCTAAATAGGGACAGTGAAAAGCACACATTCCCCACCCATCAAACTAGAGAAAACAATGACATTTCTTAAAAACCGATCCTGTTCCAAGCTAAACATCATCAATGAGAATATTCCTCAAACTGTTGCATTACCTTCTGGTTAACTTACTTCTTAAGGGTTGCTCATCGTCCTTCATGAAGATCCTCCGAGGCAGTTGCAGTACGTGAAATGTTGTCGTTGTCAAAGGCACTTAGGCCAGAGTAAGGACCAGAAGAGAACATAGAGGACGTCCCATCGGACTCAAAAGTGGTAGATGACTGTCTCATGTTGGGATGGGCATTGGAATAGGGTAACGTGGAATCCTGATATTCTGTGACACGCTGAACCATTTTCAGTGACTGTACCACTTCTCCCATTGTGGGCCTCTGGCTTGCTTCGGGAGCAACACATGCAGCTGCAATTGTGCATACCCGTACAAAATCTTCCTTTGGGTACTTTCCTCCAAGCCTTGGATCAGCAAGATCTTCTAGCCGATCTTTGTCTCTTAGAATTGGCCTTGCCTGAAAGCAATTGCCCACTTGTAAAAATTTCCTTTCAAATCAATATTGGTCTTAATCTTTGAAAATGAACTAATTGTGGAAGGACAGGATGAATAACCATGAATGACAATTATGTAACAAAATGAAGAAGATTGATGCAGGTTCTACTTACCCAAGCGACAAGGTTCTCTTGTCCGGATGGTTGTGACATATCGACAGGCTTCCTTCCAGTCAGCAACTCAAGGAGAACAACTCCATAGCTGTAAACATCACTCTTTACTAGTAGATGTCCAGTCATAGCATACTCAGGGGCCACATACCTAAAAATCAATCACATTTTTATATTTTATTTATCTAAATTCCAGTTTAAATAAAAGTGGATGGGTGGGATAGAAACCAACCCAAAGGTGCCCATAACACGAGTAGACAGGTAATTTGTTCTGCCATCGGGTGCTTGTTTGGCAAGGCCAAAATCAGCAACTTTTGCATGGAAGTTATTCTCAAGCAATATATTTGATGCTTTGAAATCTCTATGGATAACACAAGGCTGTGAGTCCTCATGCAAGTAAGCAAGTCCTCTTGCTGCATCAAGGGCAATCTTCATTCTTGTATCCCAATCCAAAGGACAATTTACTCCCAGGGGACCTGAGGCAAAAATATGAACAAAGTCAGTAGCATGCATCAAAAATTTACTAAAGGAGTGCAAGAGATGCCTGTAGGATGTAAAATTTAAACAGCACTTACCATGGAGCCAGGCCTCTAAACTTCCATTTGGAACAAGCTCATAACAAAGTAGATTCTGTGAAGAGTCACGATTGCTATAATAACCTACAAGTTTCACAAGATTACGGTGATGCAACCTGCTAAGCATCTCAACCTCCACCAAAAACTCTTTATCTCCTTGCTGCCCTCCACTACTTAGCCTCTTAATTGCTACAGCTGTGCCATCACTTAAAACACCCTTGAATACTCTGCCAAACCCACCCTCCCCAAGAATGCTTGCAGGTTCAAAGTTGTTTGTTGCCTCTTTAAGTTCTTCATATGCTATAAATCTTGTACTGCTTGGGTGGGGAAGAGATCCTGCTGTTGATACCGCATCTGCAGTTCTTGGCTTCACTGTCAATAAAGAAAGATGAAAACCCAAATGATTAGAAAAACTCACATATATTATATAAGAATACAGACAATTAAATTTATTTTGGTACCATTGCATGCTCAGTACAGCAATAGCAAATTCTACTGTAATGATAGACTTATGTGATTTTTCCCCTTGGTTGATAAAATATTATTTGTCTGGGAAGTCCCACAAAGTGATTAGTGTTACATTCTGTAATCAATTCTCAAATAGCCAACCAGAAACTTCTGAGCACTTGTTAAATGAATGAAAAGCTTTATTTATTTATTTATTTATTTTATGGTATTTTTTTTAAGCTGCAAACTCTGGGAGTGGAAGAATGCTGATTCCTGGATTCTCTTCAATGTTGCTATCTAATACTTTGTGATCCATTCCATCTTCTCCAACTTCAATATGGCATTCACTTAAATCATATTGAGCAGAAAGAATATTGCCTTTGTTTTAAGTAGAGAGATACTAGAAAGAATATTGCATTCTTTTAAAAAGAATGATTCAGCATGGTATTGCATTCTTTCTCCTTATTGTTAACTGGATAATGAGACTACAGAACAAGTCTTCAACAATTACACTTACAGTTATCCTACATAACATTGTCAGGAAAATCAAACTTCTTTTCTACTTCATATTTTATCATAGGATACAGTGCCAGCAAAATAAAAAAAAAAAAAATTACTTCACACAAAAAGATTTCAACATGTAGAATTTTCAATTTTATATTCTTCGTTTTGGAAAATCTTAAGAAAGAAAATTGTAAACAAATAAAAACAGAGAGACACTGTAAAAATGTAATACTATAAGACTTCATATGCATACCAGTTTCCTCAGAAGTTGCTTTAGTTTTTCCCCTTCTCTCACGCAATATGCATGAACAAATTATAAGCACAGACATAAAGGCGACAATCAGTAAGCCAGCAGAGATGCCAAAAATAAGAATCATGTTGGAGTGATTTTCTTTCTTTGGAGCATGGAGTGGTATGGAAGTTGAGGGTTGATTTGCTGGTGCCTCTACCGGCTCGGGAGCTACAACAGGAGCTGTATTTCAGATGCAACTCTATAAGCATCCAGGTAACAGAGATAGCATATCAAGAATATCCGCTAATGTGATTTAAGAGTAGAAATTCAAGGGAATGAACAAAACAGAAGCCTCAAGGATAACATAAATCAGTCATATTAAATCAGTTATGATAGCACAGCCGTCAAAAATGATTCCTTACTTTAAATAATGGCAACTAAAAGCCACATGCCATAAAATCATAGAAGAGGTGGCTGCATACCTTGAGAAGGTGCAGGTGGTGCAAACCAGGTAAGATTCAGGAGTTTATAATCGCCGATAGCTTTTGGGTCAAAATGAACCCTATGTGTGGCAAGTGTAGCATTTATTTCAGATGCATCGCTGTCTGAGAAACCAATTCCCACATATGGAATAATATCCATTGAAATATTTAATCTTGATAAGCTGAGGACGTAAAAATTAATCATCACAATTTGAGAAACTTGCAAACCAAGCTGGAAAGCTAATTGATTTAGAAAAAAATTCCAATCTGGATTTTGTGAGACATTTAAAAGGAGAAGATCGATCTTTATGGGATAAACACAATGGCAATCATCACTCCCTGGTCTCAAAACTGCGCCTGGCTTGCAACAATCTGGCAGAATGACAAAGTACCCATTTAAGTATCTCATATAAAGTACAATTTTGTTTAATAAAAACAACTATCTATTTCTTTCACTAAGTAAACAAAAGTATAATAAGAAAAAGGGTTAGAGAAATAAATTAAAAAGCATCTCACCATAGGCATCTGGAGATAATGGTGGTTGAGCTAACCCTGCAGGAATTGCACCAGGACCAGACTGAGTTGGGGCAATATTTGCCAAACCAGCAATGGGAGGCACTAAAGCATTCCTCTTTTTCAATGGTTTTGACAAACGCTGGCTTGTTGGGGGATGACTAGAAGTTACTAATGGACCATAAAAAGGAGGTTGGGCCGGTGCTACTGTATGCGGTGAGTAATGCCTCTGATATGATCTATGAAACTGTGGGGGATTAATTGGCACTGCAGCCTGAGGTGTACTAGCGGTATATAGTGTTGGTGCCTTGACTAGACTATTGGGCAAGCTGGCATCGGTAACATAAATTGCATAACATAGAGCAAAAACAAGTTTCAACAAAACAGACCGGACCTTTTGTGATGTTCCTGCAATTTGTTTTAGAAATTTAATCAAATAAGTGAGGAAACAGAGATGTCTGAAATGATGATAACATAAATTTCATCATTTTCATTACCTGAAAACCATAATAACAGGATAACAAAATAACCATCAGCTTTAGGACTTAAAAAGAACGAAAATTCATATATTCCCAAATGCAAGTATACTCCAGTGTTATTTGTGATTTTGCCTATAACTTTATGCTCATTTCCCACATTTAGAAGAAAAAGAAATCAAGATGAACATTTGTTCCTCCCCATAAATCTTGTTCCAAAAGAGTGGGAAAATTAATATTATAGAATTCGATTCTTCGAATTTTTATGATTAAGTTCCTAACTTGGCAGCTGATCCTAAAAGAGCTCTTTGAATTAAATTATTTTCTTTCATAATCTTCAATTTTCTAGG